CCTTAGGTGTACATGGCTGGCGCCTTAGCCGGTTGAGCTATAGGCGCCGAGCCAACAATTTTAGTTTTTAAAGAGTCTTAATCTTTATTATCCCTCCAGCTCTGAAGTTTTTTATTCATTGCTGAAATCTCAAAGTACTTTAGAAAGTTTTAGATTACAGTTGACAAGAGTAAATGTGATGGAAAATTATTTTTTATAAAAGCAATTATATTCACATTTTATTGAAAAGATATACTATGCTGCATTATTTCTAGAAATTAAGTTAGGGAAAGCTATAATTAATTTTTAAATATAAAAACCAACATTAGCCAGGAACAGATCTTCTGTATTTTGCTGTGACACACTATTGCCGTGGCCATTCTGCTGAATTTTCTTTAATGAATCTATTCAAGATTTTTGGTGTTTGTGGTTGTTCACTGTTTTTGAAGGTCTTCCTATAGTTGCCGCTTTTTTGTCCTTCCTTGCTGCTTCTTTGACTTCGCTGGAAAATACCACCGGAGGCAGAGTAAGAAGACTCAGTACCGAGAATACCTTGATTTCATTAAAGAAGTGGGATTTACCTGCGGATTTCATGTAGAAGAAGACTGCCTTAGAATTCCCTCAACCAAAAGAGTATGTCTTGATTATCATGGTCATCCTCATGGTCTGTTAGTGCCAGCTGAGGGCCAGGTCACAGAACTGTAAAGCACACCAGGATGTTCAAAATGTACAAACATTCCAGAAGGCTCTGATGCTGATTTCAGTGTGGAGGTCATTGATGGGGCTCAGAGGCTCTTTCTGTATGGATAGTCCCTCCTTTTCTGGCACCCGCTCCTCCCAGTATGTGGTGCCTCTGCATGAGCCCTGGCCAAGTTTCCATCTCTCCCAAGAATGCTGAGGGGCTCCAGGGGCCCTTCTTCCCAAATAGGCAGTGATTTCCAGCCTCAGAGTTGCCAGGAACTGGACTCTGTGGGAAGTGCTCACTGCTTGGAGTTCTGAATAATTGGCTAAAATTAAAGTTTGTTTTAGAAATTCAAAGCGATTTCAAATTTTTTCGTTAAAAGCCTTGGTAATTCAGATTTACCTTGAAATGTCATTTGGGCAGAAATTGGCCTTTGAACTGTCTGTGTGACTTTAGGTGGGCGGGGCAGACTCAAGGCTTGACCATTTGGAAATATCCTGGGAAGTAATTATAGCAGTTTATGTTATTCTGTGGTATAACCTTTATTTTATGAGACTCCATGACTGTCAGATGGCGTGCTTTTAAAAAAGTGACCCTGTCATATCCAAGGCTCAGCTGTAATGCTTGCCTCAGTGAGAGGATTGGGACAGATCAGAATTTAGCCCTTGGCTCTGCCACTCTCCAGCTGTGCACTCTCAGGTGAATGTGGGACTCTCCCAACCTGTGTCCTCTCCTGTAAAATGGCAGGAAGGCTGCTTTGGACTGTGTTAAGAACGAGACAAGTGATGTCTTCAGAGGCCCTTCTGGTGAGGGCGTGTTGTGGGCACTTGCTGGCTGGCAGAGGCCACGGCTGTGAACAGCAGAGCAGCTGGCGGCAGGAGCTTCATTGTCACTGCTGCTGCTGCTACTGTGGAAGGTTCCTTTAGGTCTCGTGTGCAGAGCTGTCCCGTCGTCCTCTTACCTTCCTCCATTTTGGCAAGTCTTAGTCTCTGAGTTTGGAATTGATGTTTGGAAACTGCTGAAGTTTGGGTCATCTAGGTAGGTCAGAGGATCCCACAGTGTTGATTTTTGAATTTGCTGTTCATTACTAGAGGTGGGAGACCAGGGACTGTCACTTAGTCTCACTGACCATCAATTTTCTTATAACTGGATGGTTTGGGGCTCACATGCAAGAGTGAATTTGCTTTGTAATTTTAAAGCAGTCTGCATGCAGCAGCCATCTAGTGGGGGTGGGATGCCTGATGGGCACTGGGGAGTTAGATCGCACAGTAGGAGAGAGTAGGGGGTAACAGGTGTGGCCTCTTTTATCCCCTGTAAATGGCTTTGTAGTTAATGCCCAGAGGGGAAGTTGAGAAATGAGGCACTGGCCACAGCTCTGCTCTGCAGACGGGACTGTTTGAATCATGGCCTTTGTTTGGATTTACTGAAGAGGGAGGAAATTAGTGCAGATTAAACATCTACATGGTACCAAGCGCTGTGTACACTTGCTCTGGCAAGGTTGATACAAAGCCTCATCCTTTCATAGCCCCCTCGAGAACTCCTCCGTGTTAACTCCTGTGTCTCCTCCTGGCAGGAGTGTGTGATGGAATGGGGGTTGCCATGAAGCTTTTGGACCATGCGGCCCCCAGGCTCCGTGATTGTGGCTTTGAGCTTTCCTTATGTCTCCATGCAGGTCTGAGTGATGAGAGTTTTCATGGGCTCTGCTAGTTTTTTATTTTTAAGTCATTCATATTGGTGTTAGTTTTTTAAATAAGGATTATTCATGATAGATGTCTAGAACTTTTATGTAATTTGTACTTCAGAACAAGAGGATTCATCGGAGAAGCCTGAAGTATCATCCGTGCCTGCTAAAGTACTTGACTTCGGTATTTTGAACTGCAGGTCTGTCTCATTGGGAAATCCAGAACATACCCTCCCACCGCAGAGCCTTTGGTTGATGAGCAGAGGACTCAGTACATCACCAGCAGGCGGGGCTGCCCTGTGCACCTGCCTGGTGGGAAGCCTTCCCCTTCTTCACCCTGGGTAGCTGCTGGCTGTGTTGGTCACCACGATGGTCACAGAGCCCTGGACATCAGGGTTGAATGTGCCCCAGAGGCCAAGGCTACTGAGCATGGAGCAGAGGTCCAGGTGGAAGGACCCTGGCTGCCAGGCTTTCACCCCAGAGACAAAGCTGAACGCGTGAGGAATTGTGCCACCCTCCCCCGAGATTTTATTGACCAAGTGGTTTTGCAAGTGGCCAATTTGTTGCTAGGTGGAAAGGAATTAAACCCAAGAAGTTCTCAAAATGGGAGTTTGAAGACCTGGAATGGAGGAGGTAAGCCATCTACTACCCCCAGGGCCAGCACATGTGCTGGGTTTCAGGCAATAATTCCTTTCTGTATAACAGTGTAAAATTGTATAAGCTTGTGATTAGATATACTTAAAAAAAACAGTTAATGATGAATAGGCTATTTTTAAGCTTATTTAAAATTTTGCTAAGACAGGATAGGGAATGGTAAACGTTGGGCCCTTAATTAATGTTTACAGAAACACAGATTCAGAGGCTAGAGCTAGCTTATTTCAATCTGTACAAATCATCCAAAGAGAAAACAGTTGCCAAATGCCAAAAAAAATGCACCATCCTTTGAATATAGGTAATATTTTCTTTGTGACCCATGAAATAGAGGAATCAATCATGATACAGGGAGAAAATTGCATCGGATTGTGAACGCTTGGCCGCCAGAGGGCGTGTAGGGCTGTGTGTGCTGGGGCTGGAGGGAGCCCACTTCTGCAGCTCTATGTTACTTGAAGCGGTTTTGAGAGGCAGAAGTCCAACCCTGCTGGCCCCCATCCTGCACCGCTGTGGGCCGTTTCTGCTGGTGGCCGGCCTCCGGGGCAGATGGGGGAGGAGGCAGTGCCCCTTCCTCTCTGTACCCCGGCTTCTGCATCTGTGTTAACTTCTTCGTTTCACCTCTTCTCATCTCTCATGTATATGTGACATGGCAAGACCATCAAGCATGTCCCCCTCTAGAAATAACGCAGAGCTGATGGTGTCCAGTCAGAAGGGCCTCTCCAGGGATCTGGTGGCATCTGTGTGCCAGAGTGGCCCTGGTTCAGGTGACCGATGGGACAGTGTAACTGAGGGGTCTCTTGAGTGGCCCTGTTGACAAAGTGCACCCCTCTGCTGTGGGCCAGAGTTCAGAAGCAGGCAGGCTGGCGCCCAGGATATTAGAGTGGATCTGAGAGTTCTGGAGTGCAGTGATCAGTGACCTGTGAAAGTTCCTGTAAGCCATCTGACCTTTCAGTTCCCAGGAAATGCTGGGAGTGCAAGAGACGGTGGCCTGTGCCCAGGATTGAACGGCTTTCTGTGAGCAAAGAGTGGGCTATCTCTCAGACTTAGAGAGCAGAGGTGGCTCTGAGTGGCCAGGCCTCAGTCCTACTTACTCATTGGGAATGGGCAGCCAGGGATTCAGATTGGTGTCCATAGGTCTGAGACATTTTAGAGGCTCTCTGGATGTCCCTAGATATGAGAAGCAGCCATGGTTTCCTTCCACAGGTGGCTTTCAGGTCCTTTATTCCCCTTCCAGCCTTCCCTGAAGCAGGGCCCTCTGCATTTTAGAGCCCCAAGGGCCATGTCTGGGTCTGTCCCCAGGACCTAACTGATTTCACCTAGGGCATCTGCCATCTGCAGGAGACTGCTGGGCGAGATGGGTAAAGGGGTCCTTGCCCTGAGAGGCTTCAAGCAACCAAGAGACAGGACTTGCTGAGCTCTAGGTGTAGAGGTTAGTGTCATGCTATTGTGGTGGGCCAGAGCCCGAGAGAGAGGACAGGGTAGGCTGACTGGGACACTGTTCAGTTTTTTTTTTAAACACTTTTTGTCCCCTCAAAATGGATTTGAGGGAGCTCGAAGAGGTGGACCTTGAAGGTGGGCTGAGCTTTGCTAGTGAGCAGCTGCCCACACTGGGGCCTCCAGGCTGGGTGACATGAGAGGGAGGATGTGAGTAAGGCATGACGTGCGGGACACACAGGAGAACCAATTTTTGTTTCATATTTATATACATATTTTGATAATAAGCTGACTTCATTGTCATCGAGTTTTCTGATGAGAGCATTTTGAAATGCATGTAGGCTCCCAGAGTAGGAAGTTGAAGTGACAGAGAAACCACTGCTATAATGTCTGCACTATTTTTCTGTGTCTTAAACTCTTAACCTGGCTTGGCGCCTGTGGCTCAAGCGGCTAAGGCGCCAGCCACATACATCTAAGGTGGCGGGTTCGAATCCAGCCCGGGCCCGTCAAACAACAATAATTGCTGCAACCAAACCGGGCATTGTGGCGGGTGCCTGTGGTCCCAGCTACTTGGGAGGCTGAGACAGGAGACTCGCTTGAGCCCAGGAGTTAGAGGTTGCTATGAGCAGTGAAGCCATAGCACTCTACCCAGGGAGACAGCTTGAGGCTCTGTCTCCAAAAAAAAAAAAAAACTCTTAACCTTCTACTTGCTGCTGTCAGTCCTACCTAGAGCTGGTAGCTGCCAGACCCTGGCTATCAGTGTGGTTGGGAGAGCTTGGGCTCTAGGGCTGACTGGCTTTGGCCTCCCTCCTTAGTCTGAAGCAGCTGTGCCCCACTTGGGTCACCAGGGAGAAGGGACCTGGGCAACTATCCCACAGCTGGCAGTGGCATGAAGTGCTCAGGGCCCTGGGGGCATGCTGTCCTTCTCTCCCTTTCGGCTGTGCCTCTTGGCTTGGGGTGGTGCTGAGTGTTGTGAGGTGTGGGTTAAGTTAAATTAAATTTACATGGTCCTTCCTGCTGAAGTGCATGAGTGATTTGAGTTTGTAGTACTTGGGTTGGTCAGTACCTATGGCTCAAAGGAGTAGGGTGCTGGCCCCATATGCTGGAGGTGGTGGGTTCAAACCTAGCCCTGGCCAAAAACTGCAAAAAAAAAAAAAAGAATTTGGGTTGATTTCCAGACTCTGGACCCAACAGTTTCTGCTTCTCTCACTGGTTTGTAATAATTTTGTCACTGTGTGGGAAAAACCCAATTTTTCAACAGAGAGCCTTTCCCTGGCAGAAGTAGCCAGTGAGCTGGACAAGGAGACCCTGCAAAGGCTGAAGCGAGAGTGTGGGGGCCTACAGACGCTGCTCCGAAACAGTCACCAGGTGTTCAAAGGTACAGCTCGGGCATGGGGGTGCTCCCCCTCCCCATGCAGGCATTCTCTCAGACACCCTATGCCACTCTCTGTCCTCCCTTCTCTCTCTCTTCAGTTAAGTGAATGTTGTATTTTAGGGTAGTGAGACACACTGAAGGATCTGCCATGCGTGCAGAGTTCCCTGGGCCCTCCAGATGCTCATGGTTAGCGTCTGACCTCAGGGTGGGACATCCCCCTTTCCTTCTCAGCTTCTTGCCCAGCCCCCCTCAGGCTCAGCTCACCCAGTCTAGTATGTACTCCCTTGCTCCTCACACAAAACACAGGGTGAGTCAGAACCACCCAGGGAACTTTCCATTGGGACTTCATCATTGGCTTTCTTTGCTTTTTATCTCGGCTGCCTGCATGCTGGCAGCATCTGGAACTGCAGAGCCAGGCCAGGGGGTGGGACAGGAGAGCCCCTGCCCTGTCTCTGCAGTGGGGACACTTTTTGTGGGAGGCTGTGCTTTGGGATGATGTGCTCTGTTCCCTCTCCATCTGCAAAGCAGGGCTGGCTCAGTCTCTGCCCTGCTGGAGTTCACAGTCTGACCAGGGAGTGGGAAATGCAACACTTTCCCTGAGTACCTGAGGTTTAAAAAGTTCCATTATTTAAAGTTTTCAAGTGTTCAGTGAGAACAGTATAGGGAGCTCCTGGATGAGATCATCAAAAAGTTGAGAATTTGCTGTGCTTGCTTCCTGGGGCCTTTTTTTCTTTATTGAAGTATTTTAAAGCAAATCTTAGCTGGTGTGCTATTGACCTCCTGTGTACTTCATGTGCATCTTCAAAAATAGTGGGTGTGCAACTGGGAGCAGTGGTTGGCGTCTGTAATCCCAGCCCTGTGGAAGGCTGAGGTGGGAGGATCACCTCAGTTTAGGAGTTTGAGACTAGTCTGAGCAACATAGTGAGATCCCATGGTTTTTTTTTTTTTGAGACAGAGCCTCAAGCTGTTGCCCTGGGTAGAGTGCTATGGCATCACAGCTCATGGCAACCTCCAACTCCGGGGTTCAAGCGAGTCCCTGTCTCCACCTCCCAAGTAGCTGGGATTACAGGCGCCCACCACAATGCCCAGCTATTTTTTGGTTACAGCCGTCATTGTTGTTCGGTGGCCCAGGCTGGATTTGAACCCACCAGCTCAAGTGTATGTGGCTGGCGCCTTAGCCACTTGAGCCACAGGTGCCGAGCCGAGATCCCATGTTTTAAAAAAAAAATTGAATCAGACATGGTCCCAGATGCTTGGGAAGCTGAGGCAAGGGGATCACTTGAGCCCAGAAATTAAAGGCTTCGGTGAGCTATGATCACACCACTGGACTCCAGCCTGGGCAACAGAGTGAGACCCTGTCTCAAAAAGAGAAAAATAATAGTGGTTGCATCATCTTGCCTTACCACCATGCCATAAGCACAGTTTTCTATGCAGAGGAAGTGGCCTGGGCCCAGAGGCTTTACATAGGCAGTGACACTTGAGCTAGGAATAGAAGGAAAATGGGAGTGAGTCTGCTGATGAGTACAAGGAAGAGCGTTTTAGACAGAAGGAACAGCATGTGCAAAGGGCCTGAGTTGGGGAGGAACAAGGATTGGATTATGGGGCTGCACCTGCATGTCAGGAGAGTGGGGGCCTCTGACTAGCAGGAGGGATGACACTGAAGTCACAGTGGGAAGGAGCCTCAGTCCAACTTCCATGTTCCGCTCCCTCAGTGTCAGGGGTCTGGAGTCCCTATGGGTCTCTCGGTTGCTGTGGGTGATGAGGGCAGGGCTGTGTTCAGTTCAACATGGCACTTGGCTCCATGGTTGGTGTTTCATAAGTGATTGGTGCCTGTTTCTGCCCTGAAATGTTGCACAGGGACTGGCTGCGGGCCAGCTGAGCGTGTGGGCTTCTGCCAGTGCATGCACAGGGTGGTATGCTGGACTGGGAGTTACACATACTGCCTGCCTTCCAAGACTGACCTCCTCCCCCATTCTTCTCACATGGCTAGTGGCTCTTGTTCTTGTATTTCTTCTCCAGAAGCTTCCCGCTTGCTCCTGTCCCACTGGTGCCTTGGTCTCTGATGAGTACCAGGTCTTGCAAGGTGTAGTCTAGTGTCCCCGTCCTGAAGCCTTCTTTGTTAAACTGCTCCCATCTGCCCCACCCAGCCTGCCTTGCCTGAGCCTGGGTTCACAATCTGCTTGTGTCTTAGTTACATTGTGCCCAGTGAGACTGTGAGCTCCTTGTGGGTGGGGCCGTGCCCATTATGCAGCTGTCACTCCAGCCTGGAGCCACCACTGTGGTGCTATGTTTGTGTTACTGGGAAGGAAGTGATGGCCCGGAGCAGGGGTACACTGACCCTCACCCTCTTACTGATTACAGGTGTAGGGATCGTGTGGAAACCTGCCCTTTTCCCTATGGTTGGTTCATTGAAAGATCAACTCACAATTATGGTAGATTAATAAGAGAAAGGTTTATTTCCAAATACCGTGCACATGGGGGGAATCACAAGAATGATTATTCCAAGTCTCAGTGGTGGTCAGAGATGTTTAAAGATGCCTTTTAGAAGGTGGGGGGGGAGCATGGAAAGTACACGTGCAGCAAGTGGTCGCTGGGGGGATGTGTGCAAATGGGTGGAAACGGATTGATTTGTAGATTAATCTGAGAGGTTCAAAAGACCTTAGGGCCAGGTCTTTTAGTACGCAATAAGGAAGTCAGCAGCCCCTTTGCTTCTAAATCAGGTTACTCAGGTTTTATAGAGGAGAGGCCAATGTTTTCTGGTCATGAATGGCCTTTAATTCGAAATATTCTTTATGCCAAGGAATCATATTTTGGGGTGAAATTTTCTTAGCTGCTTCACAGGTGCCATCTGAAGACAGGGCTCCATGTGGGTGCTTGGAAATGCTCTGCTGAGGGCTGCCCACTCCCTGTCCCCAGGCCTGACAGGGACTCAGGGTCACCAAGCCTATGGGATACATCCAGCAGAACAGGGGAGGTGCCTTGCTGGGATGTCTGTGGGAAAGGGAATAGCTGGGCCTGCTGGGCTGGGGAGCTTTTTCAAGTGAGTGAAGCCACCCCTGGGGTGTGCATCTGCCAGCCTTGAGGCCTTGGTTGATGATGCCAGGGAAGGTAGCGTTATCTGGGCCCCAGGATTTGGGGCAGGTGGCCCCTCCCCCATCTTTGTGGTTAGGCAGTGGCTCAGGGAGGTGGGTGGTGGGAAGGAAGCTTCAGTGAGTCCCGGACTGATAGAGGCATCTCTGTCCCCACCTCAGCCTATAGGCCCAGTAATGGAGTTGAGTGCTACCACCGCTTCCATGTCCCTTGCGTGTGTGTGAGAGCGTGGGTGTGCACACACTATCGCATGTGTACATAGAGCAAGAGTTACAAATTTTCTCACATACACACACAGCCTTTGGGTGGCCTGGTTATCCTTGGGGAGTTAAACTTGGCTTTCATCTAAATTGACTGCTTAATGCGGCTGGAGTCTGCATTTCTGGAGGCAGGAGGCGAGGGGGGAGACCCAGAGGAGAGTGCTTGGACTGTCCTGTGCTTAGAAGCACCAGTGCCAGGTCAGAGCTGGCCTGGGCCGTCAGTGAGGGGTCACCAGGTGTGCAGCCAGACTAGGCTCAGCTGGAAGTGAGCTCACAGAGCTATAGGCGGTTAGAATACTCCCTGCAACCCAGAGGGGCCTCTCTTCTGTTTTTCCCAGCACATTTTTTTGTTTGATTTCATGAAATTGTATATTTTTTTCCACTGTAAATGTGCATATTTATTAGTGCTTTTCCATGCATTTCACATCAGGCAGGAAAATTATTTTTGGAAACACTTCTGAATAAGAGGCTTGGAGATTGAGTTTCATATAAACATTCTCCTCCAGTCATGTAAAAAATATGCACTGAAGCTGGGTCTTACCCCTGAATGAGATTTTGTTTTGTTTTCTAACTAACGTGGCGTCTCAAGAAATGCTTGAGAGTGAGGGCATAAAACTGATTTCAGGTGACTTCAGGTCAGCTGGTGCTGAGCACCTTTTTGTGTACTGTGTACCATCCTGGGGACTGCTGCACAGTATCAGTAAAGATACTCAGGGTGTGCGGCCTAGGGAGGGGACAGGAATACCATGCTGCAGGGTGACCAGCGCCCATGTGAATCAGGCCTTCCCACCTAGAATGAGGGGACACTACAGTTTCAAGAGGTGTAGGAACTTACCTGAGATCTCCCAGCCAGTGGTGAGGCTGCACGGATGGCCCAGGCTAGGTCTGACCTGGCACTGGTGCTTCTGAGCACGGAACAGTCCAAGCACTCTCCTTAACCTTTAGCCAATTCTGCACAACAATTCAGGGTGTGTCTGCTGTCAGAAACAGTGGCAGAGACAGGATGGTGAATTTCTGTGCTGAGTGCAAGTTGCAGGGACATAGACAGTAGGGATACAACAAGTTCAGAAACATAGAAGTGAACTTACAGAGGGTGTATTTTTTCCCCAAGATTCTGTTTTAAAATTAGGAGCACATTTCCACAGGAGAGAGTCTGTTGGTGGCCTGAGTTTGGAGCTGGCTGCAGCCTGTGCCCCTGGAGGGCCACCTCTTCTGGCGCCTGGCACAGGTCTGCCCAGGACAGGGGCTCCTGTGTTAGGAGAGGGTAGCAAGAAGCTGCCCTGTGTCCTGGGGTGTAGTCCTAGGAGCATATGGGGATGCCTGGCAGCTTCCATGCTTCCCAGGCGGTGGAAATCCTGCTGCGTCTGTCTTCCCTGGCCCTGCGAGTATTACTCCAATAATGTGGCCAGTGTGGTCTTCTTTGGCAAAAGCAAGACTGCCTTTGGGGCCAGCTTGTCCTGTGGGGGGCCACCAACTCTTTGGTCAGGGAATCCTTGCCCTGCTTTGGACCCAGCAAGCCCAGCCCACTTCCTCAGACCCCTCTTCCTTGCACTCCTTCTTACTCAGACCCCCTCTGCCTCATACTCCCTCGTCTTCAGACTTTTTGGAGTGTGTCAGGGCCACCTTGCTGTTTGGGTCATGTGCCCTGCAGGGAGTCTGGAGGAGGCTCTTTCCCTTGAAACACCCAAGTACACTTTAGGGGGTTCTGGCCCCCCTAGGGTCCAAGGTGAGTCCTGTGCTGCTTCAGGAGGTGCTGCTGCGGGAGCATCCAGTCAACATCCTGAAGTTGCCGGAGCCTGAGAGTTCGGTTTGGGAAACTTCAGCCTCCCTGGGGTCGGGAGGCAGGACGGCCTTGGCCATGGGAGGGTGAAGAGGCTTCGAGCCCTCCTGTCCCATAGAGATGAATCCTTCCGTTGTGCCTGTCGGTGTAGTAGGTGCCTCTCTGAGCTCATTTCTCTGGTTTCCAAGGGAAGATGTTTTTAAAAGTCTGTCTACTGAAGGTAAACAGGCTCACGATTGCTATATTACAAGGTGATTTGAAAGCAGAATTCAAGCTTTAATTCACACACTTTCAGGTTTTCTCATTGGAAGTTGGTGAGCCAGACTTACTCAATAATGTTCCTTTATTTCTTCTTGAACCTTTCTGTTTCAAGTGGTTTTATAGCTTCCTGTGAAAACCAGAAAGGTTTGGTTGTTTTGGCCACATTTCCTGTGGAGTTGTTGGCTGAGTAGAAGCACAGTGGGAAATCTAGGCTGACTGGAAGGCTGGGCTGGGAGGAGGCTGGGAAGCTGGGTGCCCACCCTGGTCAATGAGTGGCCCACAGCTGCCTGCTCCAGGGTCCCTCCAGTTCCCCTGCTTTGAAACTAGCCCTGGCTAGGAGATCTCAGAGGTACTTCTAGATTGGGGGTCTGAATCACCACACAAGGGAGGATCCCCTCCCTCTCGTCCCTTTCCTGGTCCCCAAATCCCCTTTGCATGAGTGGAGGCCTCTGGTTGTATAGATGCCTGGTAGTGGAGGCTGCCCTGCACACAGAACCCTCCTTTGCCTCCTGCCACACTCCTATTTCCTGTTTGTTTGTTTGTGGTTTTTTGTTTTTGTTTTTCTTTTCTTTTCTTTTCTTTTTTTTTTTTTTTTTTTGAGTCAGAATCTTACTCTATTGCCCTGGGTAGGGTACCATGATACCATAGCTCACAGCAGCCTCAAACTCCTGGGTTTGAGTGATCCTTTTGTGTCAATTTCCCAAATAGCTGCAACTGTAGGTACCCACCATGACACCCAGCTAGTGTTTCTGTTTTTACTTTTGCTCTGGCTGGTCTTGAACTCCTGAGCTCAATCTACCCACCTCAGCCTCCCAGAGTGCTAGGATTATAGGAGTGAGCCACTGCGCCTGGCTCTGTTTCCTGTCTGTGTTGGTGAGGCAAAGTCCTCAAAGATCAGTGCCATGGCCACATTTATACTTCTTAACTCCTGGTCCATCCTTCAGTACATGGAAATTATCTTTCTAAAATGATAACTCTGCAGCCTCTGGCAGCTCAGACAGCTCACATGAGCCAGCCTTGACCTCTGCCCCTCCACTCTGGCCAGCCCTGATAGTCTATCCTACGTCACAGGGGTTTGCTGCTGCTTCTGCCTGAAATGCTCTTCCTGGGTGTGTGCACGGGCCGCTCCTCCCCTCCTGCAGGTGTGCCTTCTCCAGGAGGCCTCCTGCTCCCTGCCTGATACCTCGATACCCCTCCCTGGGGCCTGGGGCAGGGACTCTAGCTCTGCTCTCTGCTCAGTCCCTGACCCTGGATTAGTGCCTCCCATGGAGTGAGGGCTTGACAAATCCTGGAGAATTAGGGAACTTGCCAGCTAACTTCGTGGTGTCTTTTCTCTGTCTCAAACCACAGTTTTGAATGGGAGAGTTCACATTCGCGATTGGAGAGAAGAGAAGCTACAGAAGAAAAAACAACCTGAAGCAAAACAGAGACCGTTTTCTGAATCCTTCAAAACCCGCGTCTGCTGGTTTTTCATTCATCACCCTGATGGCTGTGTTCTGCCCTCAGACTGCTGCCCATTTGCCCATGGGCCTGGAGAGCTGCGGCCTTCTCAGGCCACCAAGAGGAAAAGGCCAATTCCATGAGCTGCTCGCTGCTCTCAAGCTGAGGCCTGGCAGGGGTGGCTGAGCAGGAAGGAATGCTGCCAGCTCTCCTGGGCACTGTGCTCCCATGCAGCCATTCTCTCTGCCTCTGTCCAGACTCTCATGGTGATACAGCCGTACTTCATAAACAGCCAAAGAAGCCGACGTCACCAGCCCCACTGGGTACTGCGTTTGTCTTCAGTGTGGTCCCTTTTAGAGGTGCACAGCGTCTTTGCATCAGAGGACACATGCAGGTCCTCGTGGTATCTCCTGGGGAGAGCAGCATGGGAGACCTTCCGAGGCCCTTCCAAGTCCTATTCTGACTGCCAGCCATGCTACACTGGTGTCTGTGGAGAGACAGGGCACAGGAGAGGTATAGCCGTGTCTGCCAAGCCTCCTGCTCTGGGGGGCAAACACCAGATTTGTATTTTAGAAACATAAAGCTTACCCCACCATTTACTTCATAAACAGCCAGAGAAGCTGATGTCACGCAACCCCACTGGGTGCTGTGTTTGTTGACATTACTTTTAGAATTATAGAGGAAAAAACACAATTGCATGACCATGATTTTCCCTGCTAGCTACTCTGAGCAGCGTAAAATGAATCATAAGTGGAGCGGTGCCTGTGGCTCAGTTGGTAGGGCACCAACCCCATATACCAAGGGAGGTGGGATCGAACCTGGCCACGGCCAAACTGCAACAAAAAATAGTGGGTGCCTGTAGTCCCAGCCACTTGGGAGGCTGAGGCAACAGAATCGCTTAAGCCCAGGAGTTGGAGGTTGCTGTGAGCTGTGACATCACGGCTCTCTACTGAGGGCAACAAAGTGAGACTCTTTCTGTACAAAAAAAAAAGAAAGAGAATCATAAGTGATGATATCTACAAGGCTTTAAAAAATGTGACTATTACAGAAAGCCTAAGCCCTGCTCCTCCTTGCCCTATTTTGGGAGACCCACTCTATAGAAGTCTTGCCACAGTTCTTTTTATTCCCTCCTTTTTAGATGAGTTTCTATTTAAAATTATTTTCATGGTTTTACACAAAAATCTGCATGTGCTATGTACTGTTCTGTTCCCTGATTCTCCACAGAATGTGTCCAGTGACCTTTCCATTTGGCCTCATTGGCCCTGTTATTTCTGACGGATGTGTAGCCTCCCGGGGCCGGGCATGCGGGGATTCGTCCCGGACCAGGGAAATAAAGGCCTGCCTGCTCTGAAGGGGCCAAGAGCTTTGTGCAGCACCCCAGCGGGCCTGCCATTGCGTGAGGCCCACCCTCAGAAGTTCCCAGTTGGTCCTGCAGCCTGAGAGGCGGAGTCGGCCAGGTGGGGAAGGGGTTGTGCCTGCCACCCCAGCCCCTTGTGGGGGAGGTGCCCCTGCCCTCCCCACCGCACCCTATGAGACTGCTGCTTGGAACCCCAAGCCCTGAAGGAAGTCCCACTTGGTCTGAACAGTGGGAATGATGCCTCTTCACTTTGGCTGTTGCTTAGGCCAGTGAGCAACTCAGGGCTTTGCCAGGGGTTCTGGGGAGTACCGTCTACTTGGGGGGAGTCCTCCCTGCAAGAGATACCTTGGTCATGGAAGCCCTGAGGGAGGCACCAGGATTCCACGCACTGAGTGTTGTGGAACAAATAATCCATTTTCCAGAGATATCTCTAGGCCTCTGAGGCGGGCAGCCAGAGCCACTCCCACCACCCATCTGCCTGTGGACCTCTACTCAAGGAGAGAAAGTGTCTTGGGAGGTGGTGTTGGGTGACTTCAGCTCCCTATGTGGGGTCTAGCCAGTCTGAGAGCTGTTCTCAATGGAGGGCCACCATTCCCCAAAGATACCTCACGCTCCACCCAGCATAGTCCTGGGCCTAACCACTGGTTCCAGGTACCATTTCTTTCTTTTTTTTTTTTTTTTTAACCCCATGGAGATCTGCAAACACGGGACTCCCATAGCCCCTGAGGACTCCCTGGACGTGGAATACCATTTCTTAACTTGCCCCTTGCCCACAGGTCATATCATAACACTGGCCATCAGGATGGCATGTCTGGGTGTAGGTGGTCAGGTGGAGGCTTGGCAGTGAGTCACCACAGCAGCCCCGCTGTGGCCTGCCCCAAAGACTCACTACAACTGCTCTAAGCTTAATCTCTCTACCTAGGGAGTTTGGCTCTAGGGCATGCCTCACGGGTAGATATAACAGGAACCCAGCTGGGCACATGCTGCTATAGGTCCCAGCTGGACATATCCTGCTGGTCACTAGCACTCAGCAGGCCCATCTGCAGCCTGCCTTCCTGCAGGTCCTCAGGGGACCCTGTGGGCTCAGTAGGTGTACAGCCAGGCAGTAACTCCCCCTTCTCAGAGCCGCTCATGTCTGCCACAGGGGATGTGCCTTCAGGGTAAATGGAGTTGTCTTGGGGCCTGCAGGTGCAGTGAGGCAGGACCCTGGTGACCATGGTATCTTGAGGCTGGTACTGGGGTTAGTCATGGTGCTGGGGGGCCCTGCCTCAGCAGGACAGGCTTTCTGGGGGAAGGGTGAGGGGCTTCTCCCCTCTTATCCTGGCCTGACCACCTCTGCCACAACTGCCACAGCAAAAGACCTCAGGTCCTATGAGGGGAGAACCCCATGTCAGGGAGAGCCAGGGAGCAGCCCCAGAGCTCTGCTAACTTTCTTCACCTCATTTCTGGCTGGCACTTCCCTACAGTTGTCTGCTCAGAAAGCTGTGTTGTGGCCTTCATTGCTGTGGGGAAGGATGGTCCACAAGAAAGTATGGTCACATGTCACTTAATGACAGGGATGGTTCTGGGAAGTGTGTCAGTGGGCCATTTTGTCATATGTGAACACCATAGGGTGCACATACACAAGCCTGGGTGGCGTGGCCCACAGCACAGCATGCCACTGTGCTGTGATAACTCTAGGTGCTTTGAGTATCTAAACGTGTCAGTATAGTGAAGGGACAGTGCAAGTACGTATGAAGGGTACCAATGGTACACGGTGTAGGGCGTGACACAGAGCTGGCAGGTCAGGAAATGGCTCTGGGTGAGTCAGTGAATGTGCAGGCCTGGGCCGCCGCTGCTGCTGCAGATGGAGGAGGTGCTGCACACTGAGCCCCCGCTGCACACTGAGGCCCCGCTGCATGCTGAACCTCCGCTGCACGCTGAGCCCCCGCTGCACACTGAACCTCTGCACGCTGAGCCCCCTCTGCACGCTGAGCCCCCGCTGCACGCTGAGCCCCCGCTGC